TTTTTATAGTTCCGACCTGCATACTCTGTCCAAATTATTTTGATTATAATCTGTTAGGAAGTAGTTGGTGACTTCGGGTTTGAAACGTTTCGCCCTTAAGTAGAAGCATATCTTTTATGTTTGCCCACCTGTATTTACTGTTTTCAATTTTGTTTGTAGCTCTGACTGCTGTGAATGAAAATGCCTCTGAAATGGATGAACTCGAGGCCTACATGGCAGCCATCAAGAATGGTGAGTATCCTTGTTTTTCTTTTTCGACCTACCCCCGAGTAGGATCTCTGTCCCGCTTTGAGAGGAACAGCCAGGTTGAGAACCAGTGATGCCCACAACAATAAATGACTGAGAACTTAATATAACCGCGTAAAGGCATTGCCTCAAGCCTTGTCCTGTCGTCGTTATTTCATGCATTTTTTGCCGCTGGGATGTAATCCGATACGATATTTATTTAGAACTGGAAGTGACTTCTTAGGTTGTTTTTCTGATTAGTATGACGTATTCTGCAAGAGAATGAGTTGATGTCAGACGAACAGGTGCATAAGAAAGAATGCCCAAAAACTCAAAATTTAGGTAAATACGTTTAATAAATATATTATCTGAAGGTGTTGGTAAGCACGTAGGATATAAATCCTTATTTACGGTCAATCGACTGAAGCCAGTGAAAATCGTAAAGTGTTATTCACCATTTCAAGAGGGATCTAAAATTCATCGTAATCGAAATCCCGAAATAATTACAAATAAATGTGACGTTCACGATTGCGTCTGACAAACCCATTAAAATTTATTAGTCCCTGACCGGCATATCCGTAGGTAAGTTTACGAAATACCTTACTCGTATGACCTAATCGCCGTCATCAAGCGAAAATCTGCTTTATTTAGTCCAACGTAACCCTAGAAGTTTATAAACGGAAGAAATAACTAACAATTCTCGTGAAATTGTGTTGGAATACATACTCGAACTCTGGGCTGTTCGGTAACAGCCAAACATTACATTGCACGTAATATGGACGTATATTTATCTGAAAATTTACAGAACGACTATATTTCAATGTAATTCTACTTGTGCTGCTTTATTCACTAGGCTATTTTGTATGGTCAGGCTTCCTCCAAATTTAAAACGAGTGTACCTAGTACGCTCGATCTCCACTTCTCTCGGAATGTTCCGCTCTTCTAAAAAAGCCGGTATTTCTAAACAACGCAACATTACTTTGTAAATTGCAATATGCCCTAATTTGAAGAAGCACCATTACATTATTGCTGTAAGACTTTGGGGGGGGGCAACGTGAGCAACTTTTTCGTAACAGGGATTTCTTTGTTAAAGTACTTGCATTTCACAACATAGGCAATCCACTGTACGTTAAAGGAGTTCTAATCCTCCGGTCCCACCTGGCTAGGGATCCTTTAGCGCACAGTTATT